TTCGCGCTCCCCAGTGGCACGGCGCCACGCAAACGCACTTTCCACCACCCAGACATGCATTTCCTAGGGATCATCCCCACGATAGCCCCAACCAGCAGGAAAACTCCCTACCAGCAGCATCCCCCCAGGAGAGGACCCCTCAATGCAAAACACAATTGCTCCAAAAAGACCCAGCGTCGCTCAAAGAACATTTTTCAGCCCAACTCCAGCGCCATGCGTCATCCAGTCTAGCACACACTCAGACCTGGCCAGGAACAAGGCGTAAACACAGCAAGTGCAGCCTAACACACAAACATGTTACATGTCAACATGTCAACAAAAGAGACATGCTGATTGGAATGCATGTGTGCATGAAAACATGCATGTCATGTCACGCCATGCATGGCATGCAATCATGTCATGTATGTCATGAAACACATGATTCTCACATGCGCATGTCATGTATGTCCACATGCATGTACATGTATTCATGCGCAGACTGAGGTCCCGGTTTTCCAAGAACATGTTTCACGCTGAGGCCCCAACCAACTTTTGCATAGCCTGCTCTACCGAATATTTCAAACCTGTGGCAGAGTCTGTACTGCCAGCCAACATGCTGAATTACATGTTTGCACCCCCACACCTGCAGAGTACCTCCGTAATGTACTCAACTGAGATGTCCTCATGTGAGTCTTCCGAGCCACAGCCGCAACTTGTCTGACCCAATCTTCCTCCATCCAACATGCCTGGGTCACAGGGTTTCTGCCAGTGTCCACAGCCATGTCAATGATGTGGCTCAGCATGTGGTATTTGGGTCGTACGTTGAAACAGTAGTAGGCGCAAAAGTTCCAATACTGTGCGTGAAGAACTAGCAGCAACCGGCAGTGGTACACGCCCAAAACCTTCACAGTGTCTCTGGCTTGCTCTGAAAGAAGCGGGCCATTCTCTTCCCTTTCTGTATATAAGAGCCTCATCAAAGCATCACCACGCCACACGATCATCTTTAAGTCATCATCCACCTCCTTGTTTTCCATGAACTTGCACAGAAACGACATGATAACTGATACATGCCAGGCTTTGCCAGAGTAATGGCAATACTTTTGTGACTTCAACCCAAGTTTGCCCTTTGTCAAAGACCAGCTTCGCGGTAGAACTTTCTGCCCACCTTTGGAATATTCACGGATCAACTTGGATGCATTCTCAAACCGTTTCTTCACCTGGGCATCAGCATGCTTACCAAACTTCACAGTTTACACAGAACCAAGAACTGCAAGTCAACCTGTTTTCTATATAGAGCCAGGCCACATTACTTCCATGAAATATTTTTTTGCGGACGAGGATAAGAATCACCGAGGCAACA